TTCAAAGCCCTCAAGTCAGAGTTCTTCAAATGTAAATCGCCAGGACAGGATCTCTACCCAGGTAAAAGCCCTCCTGTTTTCCCACGATACCTCCCTGAAGAATTGACCACACAACACCTCCACAGTTCACAAATGGAAGCACACAGAGAAATGGTGAACAATCTGCCCCCTCGAGCCACGACAGCCACAGTTGGTCATGTTCCGGTGTCTGAAAACCTCTATACCTTCAGATCACAATCAGCACGTGTTCTATAACCTGTTCTGCCAAGCAGACAACACTTGCTAAACATCCACTCCGTCCATTACTGGACAAGGTGCTGCCTCTGTACTTCTTCATTTCCAGCTCATTCAATGACATCCTCCACCTCTACCCCTAAACTGGTCTGGGGCCACATCAAAGCTCTCGGCAGAGCCTGTGCACTGCAGGCATGTGGCCACGAGACATGGCTGCTCTCCACCAGGCCAAAACAGCTGGGGAGAGATGGACCGTTTGGAACAGGACTCTTCTAAGGACCCACACATGAATGCTGGACACAAGGCCAAAGCAGTAGTCCCAGCATCATACAGGTACGTCCCCTGTGACAGAGGAGGGGCCAGGATGTGTTAGCACGGGCATCGATGGCACAGACGCTTCTTCCCTGAGTTCCAACAACCTGAGCAAACTGTTAGCCCAGAGGGGCCACCAGATCTTCTCTGGGGTGCTAATCCCTCATGTATAAAATGGAAACATACTTGCCCATCCCCACTGGTGTAAGCGCTCCATGCGTGTTCACGTCCCCAGTGGTGTGAACACCCCATGAGTGTACATGGTCCACTGACCCGTGCTTGGCCAGTGCCAAGGACAGTGCCACTTTCAACATTTGAGTGGAAGGAAGTAAAAGTAAACTTGAGAGCAAGGAGTTTCTCTTGTTTTTGTTTTGTTTGAGGTTACTGCTATATCATCAATGCCTAGAACAAGCGTGGTATAAAGTGGGTAGCCAAAATTATCTACTATTGGACAAGTAAGGGAGAAAAGTCTGGCTGCCCAGACTAATATTGGGACCCACGGCCTCTCCTGTCTTGCTCAAGCTCACCAGAGGGAAGGCGCTCTGAACCTGCAGGAAGCTACTTCCTCTCTCCTTCTCCATTGGAACTCAGGTGCCAATCCCCACTCCCCACTGCTTGTTCAGGAACATACACAAGCTGGTTTATGGGCCCCAAGGAACACAACAGCTGAAATAGCACATCACCTAGAAAGGTTTTTATTACAAAAGATTTGAAAAGACAAGGAATTCATGGAGTGTTGAGTAGGATGGCCATGATTCCCAGTTTGCCATTGACCCAATGGGCAGTTGGCACCCCAGCCCCAGATACCAGCCAGAGCTGAAGTGGGATGTTGGCGGGGGAGTGAGGCAGAGGATTTTGGAGACTGAAGGTGATCATGAGAGGTGTGACAGCCACACCCTGCTCCCTTCCCATTGTAATGGGACTGCCCATGTGGGTGGTGAGGGCCCAAGTGAAAGAGCCCAGGAGGAAGCTGGCACAGAGGGGATAATCAGCAACAAATGAAGATGAGTGGCATGTTGCAGTGCCACATGGCACTGAGCAGTACACAAAAGATTCCTTGGGATCCACTGGGGAGCCCTGTTGGATCCCTCAGCCACAGGGGACTCACTATAGCCTGTGAGACAGGAAGAGCTGCCTTGTGGATTAATAAACCTTATTAATTGGTTTATTACTATGAGCATGTTAAAATGGGATGTTTTCAGCCATTCAATTCATTTGGAATAGCTCCCCATTATCCTGGAATTACAATTATAATCACAAAGTTACAGAAACATAATTGGTCCATTGGCAATAACAAAACCAAGCATCATTCACTCTCAAGAGACAGCAGTTAATTTCCTGGCCAAAGTTATTCCAGTCTTCTAATCAAGACCAGCACGCTGCTCCTGAAGAAAAGCATGATTTACTTTAAAAAATCCTGTTAATCCCAAAGAGAAAGCTTTCTTTAGAATCTAAAAAAATAAGAAGCTTTTGCTCAACGTGTCTTGTTCTTCCAATAGTCTCATCAGGGCTCCTGAATGGGAGCAAGGAGCATTTTTGCTTTGGCTGAACACTGCCCCCTGTTGGCATATGCACAACGTTTCCCAAGTTCCTCGAAGTAACTGCACAGGAATTACTAAGAGCTGGTATACCTTTGCTTATTGGTTTAGTGACTTGAGGCCAATAGGCAACCAGCTGTCCTCTGGGCTGTCCCAGAACCCATCCAATTCAACCTGTCTAAAACGGAGTGATCTGTTTTGCCAAACCCTGCTTTCTGTAACGCCTACAGCACCCAGGAATGCAGGAATCACTGGTGACCTTCACCACAGACTCCTTCGGGTCGGAACTCGCGGTCCCCTCCCATCCTATCTCCTGCCTTCCACCTGCCCCCAAACCTGTTCTATATACATCTCCAGGGTGAACTTATTAAAACAGTGGCCTGATCTAATTTGCTTAAACCTAGTCCCAGAATGTCAGGGTGGAGTTTTGGCTCTGTGGCTTAGTTACAAACCCTACAGATCTGTCTGCCTCTCAAAACTGTGTTCCTGGCACCACCACCACAACCAACAACAACAAACACAGGGACACACTCACTTACTAGAACTGCAAACTGACTTACATTGTCCCCTGCGCGTCACATGGCTCAGGACTCTGTACTGCGAGGAGTTCCACTGTCTGGATTTCCTACCCTCTATCAGATCACAAGGTCACTCCCTCCAGGAGGGTCACCCCCTCCAGGAAGCCCACTCTGACCACCTGACTCACAGTCTAGAACATGCTCCTGTTGCAATTTGCAAATGACTCCTGGAGCACTTGTCTTCCTGGGCTGGGAGAGCTTGTTTTTCTGCCCCAACCATAAACAGAAAGGTCCTTGAGGACAAAAACTTGCAGCCGAATCACTCGTTGAGACCTCATTTCGTTCTAAATTAGTTGAAGGTGGATTATAACGAAGAGAAATACACAAGATGATTTTCAAAGGTGGTTTTAAAAATTGGGAGTTTTAAGAAGCAAAAGCAGGCAAGAATCTCAAGGTCCTGTGAAAATGCAGCTCACAAGTGCCCTCTGGCAGGTCGGAAACTCAGCTCTGAGCTCTTTTACCAGCCAACACGCAGGGAAGAAACCTGATCAGTTGCAGCTACAGCAGCCACCATGAGCTAAGCACTCAGGAGCCGCCAGGGTTCCCCAGGTAGCCCCAAAGGGCCCTACCGTGCCTCCCCGGGAGAGTGTAAAGTGAACCTTGCTTGCTTGAGCAAGCCAGGCAGATTGTAGCTCCCTGCCCACAGCCAGCAACAGCTTCCCACAGGGCAGTGTGGCAAAGGGCACCCTGGAGGCCTTGGCAGGTGCAGTGTACGCAGCAGACAGTTCTGCTGGTTAGTTCCACGTCAGGTGCAGGGAGCGAGGCCATGCAGACTCCCAGCAACAGGCCATAAATCTCCCTTTGCAAAGATTGTTTCTTAAGAGACACGGGAGCAAGTTCAAGATTACACTGCTTCACCATTACTTGCAATGCAACTACTCCATGTTGCCCACAAAAAAAGCAGAATCAGTGGCATTTCCCAACTACTAGCCTCAGCAGTGTAGGAATACAGACATTATTTTTCCTCCAGCTTCTGGCATAGCACTGTGAGAACAAGGTCCCTTTACTTTAACATGTTCCCTGATATGTCCCTCTGCCATTCTGTACATACATGAACAGATAACACAACCCTACTTTCCAGAATATATGTAACTCAACCTTTAAAAAATAAATCTCAATACAATACCCTAATGAAATATAGGAAGCAAAGACACTGCTAATGCTAAGTATTTCAACATCCAGAACCTTTGCCCAAACTACTCCAGGAGACACACCCAGAGGGGACATTATTATTCTTTCTTTTTTTGCAACTGCTTTGAGTGTTGAAAACAAAACAAAACCAGAATCCGGGCCAGACAGGAAGTATAGGAATATGGAAAAAAAAACAGAGATGACAATGTCTCCCAGAATAAAAGCTCATATTTATTACTAGCTCTTGCAGAAAAGGCGAAACAGCACGCTTCAGTGGGGAAGGGCGCCTTACAGACACTGCTACGACTCCACACACTGTCAAGTGGAATGGAAAAGTGATGAAATCTTACGAAGAAAAACCTCTCTCAGGGCCAAGTGTTTGGTCTGGTGCTTAAGATGCCTGTTAGACACCTCGACCCTGCGGAACGACGGGGATGCAGTTCTCAGCTCCAGCTCTCACTTCCCACTTGCCCCGCCAGGGCAGAGCTGGAAGGGGTCAGGAGATGGCTCAGGTGGGTAGGCCCCTGACATCCCTGCGGCTGTGTTCCAGTCCCACAGCTCTGGCCCAGCCTGTACCAACAACTGCAGGCAGTGCGGAGTATACTGAATTACAAAGGGGGAAAAAAAGCAAGCAAATAAAAATATCCTTCTACTGCGAGCTCCCACCAAGAGCAGAGTGTACATTCAGTCTCAAATCACCTTCAGCAATGGGACGGCAACAGGACATGGTTTAGCACTGCTGGCCCTGGCCTCTAGGCGTCAGTAGTGCTCCTGGCCCTGCTGACAGCCAAAACATCCCTGCTGAGGCTGCAGAGCCACCAGGTACATCCCACAGGTCCCTCCCAGAGCAGGAGCTCCACAGTGAGAGAACGGACCAAACGACTGCACGCATGAACAATGTGAAGCCTGCAGTGAGGGGAGCCCTTTCTGGGGATCCGGAGAAGCCTGCAGGGATCAGGGAGGCGAGAGGACCCTGCTACACAGCCTGGCACACAGCACCCAGTAAGGGCTTGCTGAATACACCATGCAAACACGACGCCACCATGGACACCTTGGACAGGACCCAGGGCCGTGATGATGTCTGACAACCCCTGATCGCTGCCTCGAAGCCCCTTGCTTCCTGCTCTGGCTCAGCACCCACAAGAAACCAGTCACCCAGGGAGTCCCAGCACCTCTGGGGATCCCTAAGCGGGGCATGTATGTATACCTTCTTCGGTTTCTGCAGCATTGGAGGGTATGGGTGGTCTTTCTTCTGGCTTGGCTTCTTGTTCAAGAGCCTAAGAAAAGAAAGAAAAGGTGTGTGGGGTGGAAACTGAAATTCATTTGAGGCTTTAGTTGGGCAAGAAGAAATCAAAATTACATTTCAAGATTTTTCAGAAGGCCGGTACAGTGGCACAGCACACTAATTCTCCAACTGCAGCACTGGCCTCCCCTATGGGCGCTGGCCCATGTCCCGGCTGTTCTACTCCTGATCTAGTTCCCTGCTTGTGGTCTGGGAAAGCAGCCAAGGATGGCTCAAGTCCTAGAGTTCCTGCATTCACATGGGAGACCCAGAAGTTCCTGGCTCCTGGCTTTGGACTGACAGATCAAAGATCTCTCTGCCAATCCTTCTCTATGCAAATCTGCCTTTCAAGTATAATAAACTTTTTTAAAAAAAAATTGAATCTCAGTGACAGGAAGTCAGAGAAAACAAGATTGGGTAAAAGTGGCCACCTCAGCTCCCCTGGAGGACAGAGGGCAGACCATCCCTGCCGCTAAAACCTTCCCAACTTCCTCGGGTCGTACAAACCACGAGATTCTCAGAAATTCGAGGCAGGAACAACAACAACAACAACAAAAGGAACAGGGAATTTTGAAACCAGAAACAAAGGTTGCTAGTTTATGTACCTGCCTTCCTGGACCAACTCCCATCACACTCCAAGACACAGGCAGGACCGTGAGCAAGGGAAGGATCCAGAAGCGTGTGCCTTGAGGTGCAGGCTGCCACACACTGATGCAGGGGATCCCTGCCTGAAGCCAAGGAGAGGAACCACCCCCAGCCTTCAGAGAAGAGCTGCCCTTTCAGCACTGCCTGGCTTTTCTTCTCAAATGGCTTCTCTGCAGCCAATGAACATGCAAAGATACACAGAGTTACGTGTGGATGTGCCAAAATGATGCAACATCGCCCGACTGTAGTGGTACATGTTCCAGCCATCAGCACCCTCGGGCAGGGAACAACCCAGGTGTCACATGCCACTAAATCCCACAGGGCATGTTGGTAAGAGCCCAGAGGGTTGAGGATCTCACTGTGACTATTTCAGAAGAGCATCCTGAGTCTAGAACAAGAAAAAATAAAAGTATATATAATTTACCCAACCACTGCAGGGCAGGGGACAACAAGCACTTTGTCCTCCACCTTGCATAGGCTACTCACGCACCCCAGGCCTCAGCCAGCACACCACACCCTGTCTACCGGAGCCCAGGATGGAATTAAGGTGTGGACAGGAGGGAGCCTGTGTTGGGCAGCATACAGGAGTTCACAGTGAGAATACCTGGGCTGGAGGAGAGGTCACCGTACTAGCTCCAGGCCTAGGGTAACCAGCACTCCCAATGGTCAGTGCGGGCAGCCCCCTGAGACCCAGGTCTTGCCATTAGGGAAACTACCAAACCTACAAGAAGAGTGTGAGCTGTTCTTTTTCAGAAAGAGAGAGAGAACAGAGAGACAGAAAGAAACAGAAAAATGCCCCACCTGCTAGTCACTCCCTAATCGGCCTCAAAAGGCAGATCTGGGTCACACCAGATCTGGGTCAGGAGCCAAGCATCCACCCAGCTTCCCATACAAGCAGCAGGAGCCCCTGCACGCGGGCTGTCTTCTGCTGCCTCCCCAGGCCGTTAGCAGCGAGCTGGATCAGAAGCAGAGCAGCCAGGACTCAAACCAGCACTCCGCCATGGAATGTGGGCCTCGTGGACAGCAGCTTCACCGCTGTGCCCCTCATGCACCGGCCCCTCGGGCTGTTTGGGGATTATACCACAAAACCTGTTGCTAGAGAATCCTATTTTATGTTTGTAGACAGAATGTACTAAAGTTTAATTTTTCATTCTTGCGACTTTTTTTAGATGCAACTTTAGTAAATGCAAACTTCCTAGCTGCTTTATTATCTTCGGCCCAATTCCAGAACTAAAGTATGAACCTTCTGTTTAAGAAAAAAAGACTTTCTTATGAAATAACATAAAAACATTCAGAAGATACAGTCAACATTTTGCCTATAACTTCCTTTCCTAGTATCTTTTTCGTTCGAATATTTAAGTTAAATATGGGAATTCTTTCATGCTACACCCTCAGCTGTAACACAGCGTGGAAACACAACATCCTTCCCTGTGTGGACACCTACAGCCCCTGGATGCTATCCCATTGCATCTGGGACTTAGTCAGGCAAGCTCGGGTTTCTGCAACAAGATGGTGTGGTGGCTGCTCTACAGTCTTGCAGATTTCTGAGCAATGCCCACGTAGCACTCAAATCTGGCACTGGCGTCGTGGTGGGAGGAGAAAGGCCTCTTTGAGAAAGAAACTGGTTCTTCTTGTCCTCAGTCAAACAGCATCTGTAGGCTGGAACAAATGCTTACCCACATCTAAGCCATGAAAAGGCTCAGGAGTCCATGTTAAATATGTCAAGCGGCTTTTAATGCAAATGCTTTTGATAAGAATGATATTCTCAAATCAAGAGTAGACATCCAATAGTAGGATACTAAAATTCAATCTCGAGTAAGGCTCCTTTAAAACTAAAGGAAACAAGGTCATTTTGTAAACTATGATTTTACCACTGCAAAAACATATAATAATCTTCACTCTACTGATCCAACACATTCCAGTTCTATGTCTCCTCAAAATTTCACTAGGAAAAGCTAAAGATACTACACCCCCAAAAAACCTTCTCCCCAGTGTGAAGTACTGGATCTCGTAAGGAGTGTGTGTGATTGTGTGTGTGTGTGTGTGTGTGTGTGTGTGTGTGTGTGTGTGTGTAGGTAACTGGACACAAACCTTGACAAGAAAGGCTCTATCCCAGAAGTACTTCCGGAAGAGTTTAATATCTGCCTCCAACAGATGCTCGGCCGTGTGGTTAAAGGTCAGGGTCAGCGTTTCCGATGAGTGAACATACTGCAGGAAGGCATCTTCACTGAGCTGCACTCGGGAGAAGCCCGGCGACTGCCCACCCTGGAAACTGCAACAGGACAAGTGAGAGGCCACACACACTGCCAGAGATGCTGACCAGAGAGCCCCGCACCCTCACTGCCACAACCACACGATAAACACGGGAGATCACGTGAGCAGATGGTAACACAACCACCCTTCATTCTCCACGCAGAGAAAAAGCCTGAAAAACCACTGACAGGTGCTACCTGCTAAGCAGTACTGAGTTTTAAACATGGTACTTCATCTTAATATTTCATTTTCCTTTTCATCTAAAACGATGCCTTGTTCTTTCCCGGGGCCACCAGTAGAACAAATTAGCTGGCAGCCAACAGCTTATTAGGCGATTACAGTGGAAAACAGACATGATCCCCAGGGAACACAGTGAGGTTTGGATGTTACAAACGACTGCACTGTTCATAATACGCTGGTACTAGTGCGGTCAATCAGCTCTCATGCAAATTAAAATGTGCATAAATTTGATCATGTTATATTCTTGAATACACTCATAAACAAAGGAACAGTATTCTCAACTAAATTCTTGAATATCAGCTTGTTTTCTATTTCTTGGCAAAGAAAGAAAACTGCCCATTCATTAGCTTCATGTTTAGCGTCACCATGTTCTGGATGGCTTGAGTCACGGAACAGCAACTGCGAAGAAGCTTCAGGAGGTCAACATGGATGACCCAGACAAGAGCCCACCTCGGCCCGTTGTCACACGCAACAGGCTGTTGCCAGGTCCTGCACCGCACAGAGACAGCCTCTTGTCTCCTTGGTGCTTCTGATAGGACCTCATCCTGTTAATGAGTGGTCTGCTTTACAAAAATAGATTTCACCTCCAATGACACAGATGTAATCCCCATTGATACAGACTTAACAATGCTCTAATAAAGAACAATTGTACTGTAAGACTTGAGGAATCTCCCCAGATGCTTGATACTAATTACTGGCCAGGATTCCAGAATTGTCTGGACAACAGCTCCCTGTGCTGACAACAAGCCATGAAAGTGACGGGTGCTGGGCCCGAACAATAAGATCAGTGTTAGTAACTCAGAACATGGAAACTTCATCATACACTCAGAATTTAGCGTACAGCCTACTTCTAATCTCAGGCATGAATGAGAATATTAGACAAGTAAACTTTTAAAGCACATACTATTTTAAGGTCCTGCATACAATAAAAAAAAAAAGATACGAAAGTACCAAAAGATAAAATCAGGACTTCAGTAGAATACTGAACTAGCCACGTGACTAAGTCAAGGACAGCTTTCTTGCCTTGCTCTTTTCAGCCGAGAAAGCAGGGTCATGTTAAGACCAAAGGGTACTCCCTTTAGAAAGTCTGGCCGTGGCTAATGGTCACTTGACAAAATGAGGAAGGAAATTAGACCAAGTTCTGATGGCTACTCTAACGCCTATTGATGACCATGTAGCCATGAATTAATTTCATGTATTTCTACAAGCCAAATAAGAAAAAGTCTCTTATTGAAATGGCATGCCACGCATTACTATATATTAAAATATAGTAATAATTTTTAATATTTACATAGCTCTTTCACTATTATCTTCCCATTTGGTTTTTTTTTTGCCACATGTGAAGGAAAATCACTATATATGAATCCTTCTTTCTCAAGAATAATGATTAATCTGGACCATTCTAATAACAAACAACACAGTGATTATTCATTAGAAACACCAGCACCACTATCAACACAGAAAACTTTAAAATTTACAAAGTATTCCCTTTACATGATTGTACTGGATGGTAATGACCTTCTCCCTGACTTCAAGACTTTTGTTATTCATTGATTCAACAAACATGTATATTCTTTCAATGAAAATGATGTACTATATATGATATGCAAATAGGGGCCATGGGAAAGATAAACATAATCCCAGTGCTCAAATGATTTAGGAGAGATCTAGAGATAAATCAAATGACTGGATATGTAAAAACCAATATATTGCGATGATATTGTGAATTTACTGCAATCGTAACAAACAGCCTCTCTGAGGAAGTGGCACATAAACTGAAACCATAAGCTAAGGATGGGTTAAGCTACTGTTTCCTGTGCTTTATTCTTCAGCACCCCCTAAAATGTCAACCCCAAATATATGTAAGTATCTTCTTATGTCTTTGTGTACCTTATGCTTTATTATATCTACTCAGAGTAAAATAAATCAGAACTAGCTATGGTTTGGGAATTTCCATTTTCTTTATCAAGCTTAGCAGATTTTATACAAAGAGATTAACTATCACACAGTTCGACTCACTTCTTGATATCTTCCACCAGCTTGGAGTGTCCGCCCTGGGAAGCTAAGTCTAACGGTGTGGAGCCCTCTTCATTGGGTAAAGCCAGGGCCTGAACTCCCCCAGGCAGACACAGGAGGAACTGGGAGAGCTTGGCCAGGCCCCACCTCACAGCCAGGTGCAGAAGAGACTCCCTGTGCAGAGACACTGAAGAGAAGAGAGAACACACAGTATTAGTTCCTCCATATACAAAACTTGGTTTGCATGTTGTACCACGGAAACAGTGTGTGTAAGCCTAATAAGCATGTCAGAGCTGGCAGGAACAGCACAGGCACCTCATTCTACAGTGTGGGGAGGTCAAGGGCTTGGTCTATGAGCAGGCAGCCCCAGTAGGTGATGGAGCCAGGAATGTCCTCTGGTGCATGGTTCTCTCCACCCAGGACACGACAGCACCTGTTACTGAAGGCACAGAGGAGTCACACCACGAAAAGAGGGTCTGGGAAAGGCCACCCTTCGCAGGCGGACGTGTGTCACTTACCAAGGTGTCCTCCAGGGAGATATGCAGCCTTCTCAGAACTGCTCCTCCTCTGATGAGAGAGACTGGGCCTCATCTGCCCGGAAAACTGGACACTGTGCTCTTTCTAGCAGTGCTTTAGATCCCTAAAGTCCTCTGAAGATCGCCCAAAGCCACCTAACACTTGAAGAACAAGGCCTTCACTGCTCACTTGTGGGAAGAATGTTCCTGGCTGGTTAGCATCTCTCTGTCGTGGTACTTGCAGCTCTGTATTAGAACTGTCTTCTGACTCTGCCCTTTGTATTTCACTCCTAACTCACTGTCTGGCAATCCAAAGCTATTTGGTATTTGTGCAGTTGAATAGTACCTGGTTGTTAAAAATCTCAATTATTTGTATATGTTTAAATTACCTAATTTGAATCAAGCTTGTACACCTGTGTTCCTATTGCCTGAGACACAGCCGGTCCAAGATAAACCTTACATTTTAAAAAGGTGAAAGAATAAATGGCCTGCATTAAAAACCCTAATAAGCCCATGAACCTCACAGGCATCAAGGCACATCTTCAAACATGCCTAACTTTAACAGGTGAAACATAGCATCCTAGCACTCACAACCTGCTACAATGAGCATGAGTAAAAGTTTGAACTCCACACAATCTCTCCAGTTGGACCACATTACTGATAGTTTGTAGCCCAGAAGAGACCTGAACAACATGGCACCACCCTGGAATGTAAACCCAAGAGAGGGGGAGTTTGTCTTTTGTCCTGTGTTATCTATCCCCCTTCTGGCACAGAGACTGGCACACGCAGGTGATCTATAAATGTTGGCTTGTGAGATCAATGAATAAACGACTGCCACTCCTTTCCCTGGTGAATACCCACACACATTAGCTTTGAATATATGTCTGCAGGTGCCATATGGAACATCTCTCACTCAGATACCCCTTAAGTAAAATCTGAGAGCAGAAGCTGTGACCTCTCACAATGCCACACCAACCAATGATTCACCAGCCCCTTGTCTTCACTGGCGTCGCCACTCTGTTCCTGCAGACTTGCCCCAGCAAATGATTGTTCATGACATGGTCTTCTCTCAAGACTCTTCTTCAGTAGGAACCAAACCAATCCTAAATTCATATAATGATCTTCATTCAGTCCTCATCAAGGCCCCCTCATCACCTGCCTTCCCCCCAGATTCAGACACCCTCACTGAACCGGACTCAGTAAATTCCAACCTTGCCTTTCCCCTTTCACACACTGCTAAGGCTCAGGAGAGGCAGTGTGGTGAGGTGGGGTTCTCTCTTCCCAGGGCAGACAATGAAGCTGGCTTCGTGAGTGATACTTGAGAAGCCAACGTCCAACAGAGCTGGAATCTGAAGCAACCAGAAGGAAATACTCCACCGCACAGGACTGCCAAAGAGGACTGGCCTAGTTTGCACTGTTAACTGGCCAATGCTGCTTGTCAACACCTAGCTCAGCGAGTATGAAGCTCCATGCTCGCCATCTGCAAACCAGGCCTTATCACAACGAAATGCCACCGGATTCTCTGCCCAGGCTCCAGGAGCCTAGTGACACAGCACAGTGGCTCCAGTAAAATCACACCTCTGATTCTAAAACATCCAAGCACACACATGTTTGTTAAATACATTTGGCATCTTCACGTAAATCAACAGAGCTGTGTTGGCTACTTTAAAAAAAAATTTATTTTCAACTATTTTATCTTTGGTTTTTATTTTTTACCATTACATTTATTTGATGAAGAAGTAGTCTTTTTATTCTTTTTTTCTTTTTAAGATTTATTTTTATTAGGCCCGGCACAGTGGCCTAGCAGCTAAAGTCTTCGCCTCGAATGTGCAAGGATCCCATATGGGCTCTGGTTCTAATCCCAGAAGCTCCACTTCCCATCCAGCTCCCTGCTCATGGCCTGGGAAAGCAATCAAGGACAGCCCAAAGCCTTGGGACCCTGTACCTGTGTGGGAGACCCAGAAGAGCTCCTGGCTCTTAGCTTCAGATTGGCACAGCACCGGCCACTGAGGTCACTTGGGGAGTGAATCATCAGACAGAAGATCTTTGTCTCTCCTCCTCTATGTATATCTGACTTTGCAATAAAAATAAGTAAATCTTTTTTAAAAAAAAAAAAGATTTATTTTATTGGACAGATACACAGGAGAGACAGAGAGGAAGTTCTTCTGTCCGTCAATTGACTCTCCAAGTGGCCATAATGGCCGGAGCCAAGCTAATCTGAAGCCAGGAGTCCGGAGCCTCTTCCGGGTCTCTCACATGGGTGCAGGGCCACCAGGATTAGAACTGGCACCCATTTGGGATCCCAGTGCCTGCGAGGCAAGGACTTTCTCTGCTAGGCTACTGTGCCAGGCCCAGGTTTTTATTCTTAACAGCTACTCAGCCAGGCATGTTTTGTGACATTTATACTTTTCTTTCTTTTCAAATAACAACCAGGCAGAGAGTTCTGAGAATCAGGTAACAAAACAAACAAGCGCATGTTCACACAGGTGGGTGCCTACGCTCCGCAGGACAAGCCAGAGAGACACGAGGCAGCCGCCAGGGCGGTTCTAAGTCATGGATCCATTTGAGTGTGGAGAAAAACGCCTCAAGGTTGCTCAGATTGCAATTTTTCCCCAAGAAAAAGATAATCTAAAATTATATCTAACCTCTTTCTCTTCCCTTTTGAAAGAATGCCACTGGCAAATGACAGCATGGTACCAATCGTGTAAAGGGCATTTCCCTATAGGGCCTGGTGCAACATCCTAAACACCGCTAAAAGGTCGGCTGCGATTCCCGTGCCTGGCCAAGCATGCTCTCCCCTGGACCAAGAGAGCTTCCAGATCTTCCTGCTGGTCCCAGCAGATGGAGGCTCTCTTTCTGCCTCCATCCTTACATCTCAACCAATGCAGAGACAGTGAATGTACTGGACTGAATCACTTCCTAGATAAATGTCTCTGTCTTCCGGAGACTCCATCCACTCCAAAGAGGAGGATCTTGTGCTGTTTAAAGAAAACAAATAAAAGCCAACCAGAATATTCTAAGAAAAAGACATCCTCATTCAGTATGGGATAGAGGGGCAGATGAAGGCCAACAGCTTGAAACAGGAACATCTTGATATATTTGAGTCATTCTGCCTGTTACAGAATGCCAGCTATCTTACCAGTAACAGAAAAAACAAACTGGGAAGGGGCTTACAATTCAGCAGAGGTGGGGCTGGAGGACAAGTTAATTACAATGAATTGCTTTGGCTTTTTCACTCAGTAAATGTGTCTTTTCCTGTTTAGCTGGTGCCAGCAGTTGTATGAGCCTCGTGTAACAAAGACAGAATTACTAATAATTGCTCTAATGGCTGACACTAAAAGGTTTGCCCTGCACCATCCTGAGAGCACGAACATGCAGACACAGCAAGGAACTGCACAGGGCAGCTTGCTCCCAAGCCCACTGAGGCAGCACGGGGCCCACCTGGCTCACACCAGGCAGGAAGCTCCGGGTCCCTGCTCCTCGCCCCACAAAGCATCAGTTTCTCTGCCCATGAATGAAGACATCTCAGACAGTTCATGGAAGGTGGAAGTGAAAGATAATCTTGTTTGGGTGCCAACAAGATGTTTCATAATCCACATTTTCCATGACCTTTCTGAAGATTCCCCCAAACAGCTCCTAGGTTGCTAAGAGAACTCAAAACAGGACTCTGGGAGACGCAGACCACGCCAGGAGCACTTCCGGGACTTAGGGCTGGGGGATCCAGGATTGCCAGGCAATTTGGTTATTACCAAACTTGAGCTTGTTTACTGCTAGGTCTGAATTCAGAATGTATACAATTATCTGAATTATCACAACAACACAAGGCCTGGCTTATATCTCTCAGTGAACAGAAAACTCAGTTTGCAAGATTGAACCGGAAATTAGTCTGTGTAGGCCCATCGATTCTAACAAACGTGCCCCTCCGGGGCCTTAGGAGGGGGCGGGAGAAGCAGTGAGTAAAGGAAAGAAGGTCCATGAGAAACCTCAGCATCCTCTACTCAAGTTTACTGGGAGCCTAAGAGTTCTCAAAAAAACAAAACTTACTAAAAATAGTACAATTAATTAATTATCCAAGCCCTCCAAGTCTCATAGACACTGCTAGAGGAACTGTAAATTTGTACAATCACTTTGGAACAAAGAATAGTATTATCTAATCAATTTGAAGGGAAAAAAAAAAGCCTCATAGCAAATCCAACCCATGCTTACATGCAAACCTTTACAAGGGGGATGCTTCTGTGGACAAAAATCGAAAATAACCCAAGTCAGAAGTATCCTTAATGCTGAACAACAATATTTTGCAGTATAATCATGCAATAGTATTCTAACAGTAAAAATCAATAACCCAGTAACCCAAAAGAAAAGTAACAAACAGAACATTTTGCAATCAGAAAATTACAAACAACATGTGTTTCCATTAACAGGAAGTTGTTAAAAAAAGAAAGTAAAACCAGGGGCCGGCATGGTAGTACAGCAGGTTAAGCCACCACCTCTGATGTCAGCATCTCATATCAACAGAGGTTCAAGCCCTGGCTGCTCCTCTTCTGCTATGGTTCCTGGCCTGGGAAAAGAGCAGAAAGCAGCCCGAGTACCTGGGCTCCCACCAACCACGTGGGACACGTGGATGCCATTCCTGGTGCCAGCCTTCAAAGTGGCTTGGCCCCTTCACTACCAC